TCCTCCTCCTCCTCCTCCTCCTCCTCCTCATCCTTCATGTACAAGGCACCGTTTCTCCTACCACTTCTCATCGGCTTTGCATGCGCGGTGGAGAGAGGCATGACCTCCCTTAATCTCCTCTTCCTCTTCCTCTGCCTCATCCATCTCCTCCTCTTCTCCCACCTATGCCTCCTCAGCTGCCTCCTCCTCATCATCCGCTGACTCCACCTCTGCTTCCTCCTCCTCCTCCTCCTCCTCCTCCTCATCCGCTGACTCCACCTCTGCCTCCTCCTCCTCCTCCTCCTCCTCCTCTTCCTCCTCCTCCTCCTCCTCGTCTTCTTCTCTCCTGCTCAGTCGGAGTACTCGTGCGCCTCCTTCTCGCGGAACCCGTCCGTCGGCGTGTACGCTCCGTGCGTCGGTACGTAGTAGTTCATTGCGTAGCCAGACCCGGCGAGTCCGTTCTGGTACATGTGCTCGTAGAGCGGCTCCGACTGATGGTGCACCTTCGGATAGAACGAGTCGAACGGGAAGAACGACGGACGGGAGACGGGCGCTGGGGGATGCTGAGACGCGAGCGGGTCTGCCGCGGCCGTGGCGACGTTTCCGGCGTGGCCGACGGGCGTGAACGCCGACGACGACGACTTGCCGCCGACGCCGCGGACGGAGTACGGCGTCTGTCGCTTGTCGCCATGGTGATGCTGAACGATGCTGCCGCCGCCGCCGCCGCCGCCTCCGTATTTCGTTGGGTATCCGCCGGCGATGCTGTTCTGCGGGAGGGAGATCGGAGGCAGAGCCACCTGGCCGCCGGCGTCGTCCGTCAGCGTCTCCATCTTAATTGGCACGTTCCACGAGTACGGGTTGTGTCCGTCAGGGGGCGCCATCGCCGAAGACGCGAACGCGGCCGACATAGGGGGCGCCTGCAGCGCGTCGAGACCGCCGACGCCGACGCGTTTCGCGGGCGACGCGCCCCAGCAGTCGTAGCCAACGACGTCGGCAATCGACGACGACGACGACGATTTCTGCGACGCCTTGAGAGCGTTGAAGGCCGTCAGCTGCTTGTCTGTGGTGCCATGCGGCGGCCCGGTGGCGCCACCTTGGTTCTTGTCGTCGGTGAGGTGCTTGTGCATGTGTTTCTCCAGGTACGTGTCCTAGAAAGAGACGCTTTGATGCAGGTGGTGTGCTGGGACTCGCTATACTCAACCATGATGATGATGATGATGGTGATGGCGATGGTGGTGGTGGTGGTAGAGGTGGTGGTGGTGGTGGCGGTGGTGGTGGTGGTGGTGGTGGTAGAGGTGGTGGTGGTGGTGGCGGTGGTGGTG